GGATTGTACCAAAGTGGATCATGCTGCAAAAAAAAACATATTTTTATGAAAAAACATAACGAAGGAAAATTAAAACATTTAACTTACTTCTTGAGTTTTAGTTTCAAATTTTTTTTCGATGACTTGTTGCAGTGCTTCTGATCGCACTGATAATCGGTCTAATTTCTCCAAAATGTGTTGGTAAGGCGAAACAGGTTGTGTATATAAAACAACAAGTCCCAGTATTTCATCAATTTTTGCATCTAGTTTAGCACTAATTATGAGATGCTCAATCCAGCATTCAGCCTCCTCTGGGTTCATATTAAGTTTCTCAGCTAACATACTACAAAATAAGAAAAGGATTTAAATGTTATGAAATTATAAATACAGAATATTCATACCCAATACTAATACACTGATGTACACGACAAAAAGTTTCAAAAATCATCAAACGAGCATTTTCTACAAAATCATCAAGGCAAGCAGTCAAGAAGAAATCATTAAAAAGAACATTCTGGCATTCTTGTAATTTGTCTCTGGCTCCTTCAAAATCAAAGTTAACGTAGAGATTTTCTAGGAGTTCAGTTATAGGATCACGGTAGGTATATGATTCCTAAATACAGTATTAGTATTAATAAATATTTGAAGTGTATAGTAATAACCAGTTCATTTAAACGTTTAATGTTATTAAATGACAATGTTTTTTAAAAAATGAAATTTTGAAATGTTGTTAAACTCACTTGTTGAATAACCTTAACAAGATATTAACCTCAATAAGATCCTTCATAGCTGCTCTTCTTGAACGATTGATGATTACTGCGGTAGCCAAGTAACGAAGAATGTATGGGCACATGGTTTGAATAGCATTTAAATAGCTAGTAACACAATAATTTGTTCATACATACTATTATTTATCATTGCTACTATTATTCACAGTATATTACTTTGGCCTGTACATAAACATGTCAATAATAAGGTCACGTCCCTTAACATGATTGAAAAACACAAATAGACTCCAGTGAATTAACCATGTTCGTTGTTGTAGCAAATCCAATGGAGAACTATTTGTATTGGAATCAATGTACTCTCGTAGTTTGTTTAAATCTTCAAGAGCAGTTTCCCAGTTTTGAATAAGAATTTCAGATGCTAACTTTCCCCAAAGAACATTCAATTAGTTCTAAACAATAATTCAAATACTATAATATATTACAATGAATGCAGTAAAAATTTAACACATTGATGGACATACCTTATCAGAAGGGGTCATAACTAATAAATAAAATTGAAAAATGTAATTTGTGATCTTTGAATAATGTTTAATCATTAAAAGTATATTTATAAATGTAATGAAAATGTAATGTGTTTTAATTATACAAGTGGATGATAGTGATATATCGTTTAATAAGCTGTGTGTAAAAAAATTAACTTTGAAACATTTCCACACACTTTGAAAGAAAAATTTCCTTAAATGTTCATACATCGACATAGTATTTGGAAAAAAAAGAATTTTATATATTAATTTTGTAACATTTGATGTTGAAAGAAAAATTTCCTTAAATGTTCATACATCGACATAGTATTTGGAAAAAAAAGAATTTTTTATATTAATTTTGTAATATTTGATGATTAATGAAGAATTGACAGTGTACATACAAAATGAAATAGTTTTATAAAATCAATGTTTAAAATAGTACTAGATTCTGAAATAATTAAGTTAAATAATAAACTCTTAGAATTCAATTTTGAAATAGTATCCGTCTCTGAAATAATATTTCAACTATCACTATGACATTTACCGAGCCCTACACCTACTATTCCAAGGTTTATGTTATATAATAGACAATATTATCAATAAACATTGCAACGGTTATACTCGTAGATCACATACTTTACTTGATACTCATTTTAGTCTGTATATAACAGTATAAATATTAGGTTTTTCACTAAAAAAATATGTCATTTGAATTTATATCGTATTAACATGCTATTCAAATTATTACAAAATAGTGTATTTTTTACATTGAGCCATTCGGTACATATGTTTAATTAATATAAAAATCACACTTTTTTCTTTGTAAAAGTCAAATCTCTAAGTGAAAATCATTGAACTATGTGGCCCCAGCGAGGATGTTAAAAAGAGATAGTGTATATATTAGAAGTATCTATCTTTGATTAACATGCGGCGTCAATTTAAAATTTTTAATTTATATCGCTATGTGTCAAGTAATAACTTTTAGTGTTTTACTATTTATGTGGCTTGATGCTTGAAACATAATTATTGAACTACGATATATATATTTATAATATAAATATACGTATATATAAATATTCTATGATACATATTTGTAATAATTAGCAATTAAATCTTACCTGCATTCAGAAATTAAACTGTCAGCTTGATAAATTGACAACTAATTTTTTTTTTTTTAGCAATACAAGTCTGTTGTTGAAATATTTAAATTATTTAAAAAATGTAATGTACAGAACAGAATGAAACACAATATTCTGAAATTTGAAATAACTATATATTTACTTTTCCATTCAATATTTATTAGTTTAAAAGAAAAAAAAATGTTAAATGTAATGATTAATATTATTATACAAAAATCTTGAGAAAAGCGAAATATTTTTTTCAACCAAAGTTTAATTTACTGTGACAATTGTATGGCTCTCTAAAACCATAATGGAAAAATATTGTATTAATTGTTTTATGAATATTGAACGGACAGTAGTATATACAGCACAGGTATATTATATAGCATACATATCAGTGGAGCAACCAGAATTTATTTTTTTTGTGTTGGGGGGGGGGGGGAGAGGGATAAATCATTTCAAGAAATTCATTTTCGACAGGTTTATGGTGGAGAAGAGGGATTATGGCTAGGTTAGTTCATTATCGATCACAATATTTATACTGGTAAACATTGAAAAGTGAATACGTTACTGCGTATTATCAATAAAGAGTAATTAAAGACAAAGATAGAAATACCTAAAGTATTCGTTATCTCATTCTAACACACTCGCTCTGTTTTATTTACATTAGTCATATGGGCGGTGTGCGTTCTTTAGTTTCTTTAGTTATTATGTAGTTTAATGGTTAAAATATTTTACTCGCACCGATATTATTGGTTCGTAGCTACATTTTTAAATAACCGCGGTAAAAGCCGTCGTTATCACATTTCCATCAGTATCCAACAGATGTTATCACTCATCACCAATATTATGATAAAAGCTTTTTGAAAAATAATTTTATTGACAAATGATTATAATAATTATTACTATTGAAAATGGAAATAATAACATAATGTCAAGCCGTCCCGTGTCCGTTGTATGTTATATAATTTTACTAAATAATAAAATGTAAACATCGTGTCGCGTCACTGTACTGCAGGTCTCACACTCTAACCGCCGCTGCCTACTGATTCACGGAATTCCTTTCAATCATTGCGATGGCCGTAAACCTGGACATACAGCTGAAGCGATCGAACAAGGTGTATCGCGAAGGCGTAAGTACTCGCTTACTCTCGTCCGCGGTGGTCGTCAATAATTTCTTAGGTAATCGGTGCAAATATTCGCAGGACACGATCGCCGGGGTGGTAATCATCGACACGCCGACGGACGTCAAACACGAAGGCGTGTTCATGACCATCGAAGGCACAGTCGACCTGCAGATCAGCACGCAGAACGTAGGCGCTTTCGATGCTTTCTACAATTCTGTCAAGGTACGTACGCACGGCCCTGCCATCACGATGTTTACCCATGGTTGTCGACGAATTTTCAGCCAGTGCAGTTGATGATGTGCTCATTGGAAATTGCCCGCGCCGGTCGGTTTCCCGGAGGTATCACCGAAATACCATTCGAAGCGCCCGTCACGCCGCTCTTGAACAAAGTGCTGTACGAGTCCTATCATGGTGTGTTTATAAATGTCCAGTATCTGCTGAAGGCCGTCATCAAGAGGAATTTTCTGAACAAGGACATTCACAAAACACTAGAATTTGTTGTCGAAAACAATGTAGGTAAATGTTGGCGGGCAACCAAAACCAATTTCACATAAAATGTTAAAGAGTGTTTTTATTTGCTACAATTTGTTGTAGCCATGTTTAAATATGCTGTCGTCTAAAGTGGACAAATTTGTAATAAATCAAAATACTTTGGCAAATGTAAATGATACTTCCAACATACCAAAGTTTCACATTGTTGGTTCAATCGATTCAGTTATCTGTTCAATTATGCAGCCATTTACAGGAGAAGTGAGATAATATTATGTGTATTGCATTTGATTATTAGTACTTCATTGTTAATTTAAATATTTGTTTTTAAATTTGTAGATGAAAATTGAACATTCTGATATCCCCATTAAATCAATAGATGTACAATTGGTGCGTGTTGAGACCTGTGGCTGTGCTGAAGGTTTCTCAAAAGATGGTAACTTTTTTAATCTTGCTTAAAAGAGCACAAAACACAAAAATAAGTTTTAAGTTTAAAAAATCAATAAATCTTCAATTCTGAGAAAAGTGTAATTGGTTTTAAATCTACTCAGATCATTAAATGAATTATAAAGAATTGAATAAAGATGCGTGACATAATTGAGCAGGGCTTGCTGCAACTGTCGTATCTTATAAGCGTAAAATTGCTCGCTTTCTCTCAATAATATTTGTTGTATGTATGTAATCTGCTCACTGAAGATATTAGTAGGACCAAAACTTTTCTAAAGTGTTCAGTTTTTTTTTAAGTAAGTCTTATAATTGTTATTTTCATTACATACGCCTCTGTAACCACAGCTGCAACACAATATGGTACACTGGCTATTATCTATTTTAGCATTTACAATATTTTTCAAAAAAAACTAAATGTTTTATTAAAATTCTGATATTAATAATATTATCATCTTCAACACAAAGTCACAAATCCATACGTAAATGATTGTGTGTAGTGAAAGAGTTCTAAGCGTGTAAGATAGTTTTATCAAGCCCAGCCCAATGATGTCTCATGGCCATTCTAAATACCCCAATATCTCCTTAAGAGGATGCCACCTTCACATGTATTGTATCTATCTTACAAACGCTTAACATAGCAAATTTGTATGTTCTGTATAATCAATTTGACTCTGTTATGATTAATATTGAAACCAATTGAACTATTATAAAATTCAAAAATAAAAATAATGTCTAGTAAATCTCATTGAGCTTTTTTTATATTTCAATTTAAAAATAAGTTATGAGTATTTTATAATGCATACAAAATTTTCAATTTTGAGACACTCATAACTTATTTTAAAAATAAAATATATAAAAAGCTTAACAAAGCTGAGTAATATTTTTTTTTCATTACATTTTGACAAAATTGTTTTAACTGTTTTAATTACAATAATTTAACATTATATAATAATTTAAATATAACATATTTTCATGTTGTGTGCTCCTTAATGTAAAAATCAAAGTCAAAATTGTATTAATTGCATTATTTAAACAATTTTATAGCCACTGAAATTCAAAACATTCAAGTTGCTGAAGGAAATGTATCAACGGGTATCTCAATTCCAATTTTCATGATTTTTCCAAGGTTATTTTCTTGTTCCACCACAAAAACAACAAATTTTAAAATAGGTAATTCTACATCAAATAATTATTTTCATTTGAACCTCAACTAATTATTTATTTATTGAACCTAATATATGCATAGGCATATTTAGCCCCCCCTGATCTATGTGATAAAATAGAGACAACCAACCCGCTTTTTTTTGTAAATCTAATTTCATTTAAATTAAAATTATAATTTTGGCACAAAAAAAATCTCTAATACAAGTTTAAAAACTACGCCATCAATTATTAGCTAGATCCAAACATGATATCAATAACTGAATTTAATTTTTGGCTGATGATACAGGGAGTTCCTCATATAGTCATCATTTTTGGAAAAATTGATAGTTTATCATAAATCATAATTATTTGAAACTTGATTTAAAATGTAAAATTTAAATATTTCTTATTAACCTTCAAGCGGTCGTTCTATTATTTGAAACAAGGGTGTCGTATTTTTAAAACAGCCCTAATATATTATGATTTATGATGATAAATACACATACCAAATATTGAAATATTTACTATATTTTAAACTTAAATTAATTTAATTTAGGCACAGTAATAAAATAAAATTCATTGCAATGTATTTCGAGTTGTAATTTTATAATGCAGATTATTTATTTTAGCTCATATTTTTAAATAAAAATACCTAAAATTAAGCTTAAAATAAAACATATTGAAGTATAAAAATTCTAGCTTACAATTTAAACTAGATCCAAAGTTTCAAAATACATTTTATCAACATCCTACAGTTAAATATTAATATTTATCCAACCTATTTATGATTGATTGTTATTATTAATTACATTAGAGATCCTAAATAATATCAATATTCAAATGAATTACAACTTACATAAACAATCGACTGCATAATATATTTTTTATCCACATTTTTAAATTTAGAATACATATTATGTAGTTTATTGTAATATTTTTAAAACCTATTTTGAAGGTATTTTGCGCGTATAATATATTTATTTCTTATGTGATTACTGATTATATTGGTGCCAATAATTTTTATTCTATTTACTGATTAAAAAATGATTCCATACATTCCTTGTGTATCTAACAAAATATCCTTTTACATTATTGTTGGGTGGATGGAGAATGGATCCTCTCGTGACCTTTTTTGCACCTCAAGGAAATGTATGTTCAGATTTCTAAAACATTATTGAAAAAATTTGCTCTATTTGCTACTGTAACTGTTTATAATAATACTACTTATCCATTTTATATGCAATAAAACAAGTTTACGCTTTGTGCGTATTCTTATGTATTAATATTTAATTATAGAAAAAAAAATTGTAACAGTGAGTAGCTAACGTCAATAATTACAATAATAATAAACTCTGATTCTGAGAAAATAAACATGGGATATTCTAAATATTAAAAATATTATACAATTCACTATGTAGAATTAATATGTAAGCAAATATTATAAAACCGTGTACACTATACCTTTTCATTTTGAAAACATAATACGCATATTATATTAATCTAATAACATTCATTATTCTTCGATTGTTCAGCTTTCAGCTTTGACATTTCAATTTTAGATGTTGCCATGATTGTTGTATATTACTGTGATACAGCTATTTTTTGGAAATTTCAGTACATATAGTATACTAAATAGTAAATACTATTAATTTATTATCATACTAATTTTACAATTATAATTATTGTCTGTGGGTACTTAGTACAGTTATTGTGTCTATCATAATTGGTAGTTGATGTTGACTGTTATAAGTGTCAAATAGTAATATGTTTAACCTGTTAAAATATTACATAAGTATAAAAAAAAAATACTTTAAATTTATACTAATACCAAGAAACAACTTGCCTTTTGCAAATGTTGAAGTAATTATAATTTAAATGTACACATTCCAATATATTAAAAAAATTACCTTTAGGTATAAGTAATAATTTGTGCACTAATTAAAAATAATAAAATCATTTATAAGAAACAGTATGAGTGATCATTTAACTAAATATTTAATATTTTTTTATATAATGTTTTAATATTTGAAATAAGAATTTTGTTTTAACCAAATATTTAATCTCAAGTAAGTAACATAATTATGTAAACTTAACATGTATGTTATATTATGTTAATAGTAATATTATGTAATTGTACAATTTTGGTAACATATTTTTTGATTGATGATGTTAAAAATTATTATAATTTAAGTCAATATTGGTGGTGAGGGAGTGAAGCCTCTAGATTGTATCTGGCTAGATAAATTCACATTCCCCTTCTCAATAAAATCTTCTCTAAGCCTTTGTTAAGTATATATGATTTGGTTTAGGTTCATAATTTTTGATACCAATTAATAAATTGCTCTATTAACTAGTGATCAACATTAAATATAGCTCTGTTTATGAATATTAATATAATTTTTTTTTTCAGAGTTTGAAGTCAATGTTTCTGTTATTTTTGTAGACGATCACTTAGTGACTGAAAATTTTCCAATCACTCTCTATAGATGAAATATAAATTGTTACTTGTTAATACGGTTTTATAAATAAAATTTTAAATACATGTTTTAAAATACATTTTTTATATAAAAACAATACATGTTTTAAAATACATTTTTTATATAATAACAAACAATAGCTTATAGAATATAGATTGTATAAGCCGTCCAGTTGAGTAACATCACAGATAATGGGTTCACAAAATCACTTTAGCCATAGGTACACTACTAAACAAAAGTAATAAATTTGTAATCTTCAAGTTGGTAAATATCATCAAATATGAAATTGAAATTATTTTCAAGTTTTAAGTTAAGTTTAAATTTTGATGGTAATAACTTTCTCTTCCATCAGTTCAAAGTGAAACTTTATTAGCTATAAATGTGATTCATATAACAGAATAAATAAACATCATTTGAATTTGCTTTTTTGGCTAATTTTAGATTTTATGAGCTTCGTTATATTTATTTCCTTTTTAGAGCTATAACTAATTTTAGTCTGTTAATTATTTAAATGTAATTTTCTTAAATATATTATATTAATTGATCGCTAACAAACATTTCTGTTTGGGAACTTAACATAACTATAATTGTTTAATGCATCTTAAGAGGTTGAGGGAAATTATTCTATTTATTTTTATAAATTATTCAAAACAATTAATTAGATGTATAGATTATCCATTGAAAGAAAAATTACACCAACATTAAATAGTATATGCGTTGTATAAATAATGTTTTATTTCATAACCTGTTCTTTATAAGTTTTTAAATATTTTTTTAGAGCTTCAAAATCCGTATTATAGTTATTTAATTGTTAAATAAATATGTTCTTATATTTGATAATGTACTGATTGTTTAAGTTGGTATTAAATTATGATATATTTTTTAATATAGTACAGTTTTTGATCCCTGGTTTTAAAATTGTAATGGTTACAAAGTGCCATTAAAAGAACTGAACAGGTTATAACATTAACCCTTAAAACTTAATACTATAAGCTATAGTTATTCAAACATATATTATTCAGTCCACGGCTTTTTCGTTTCCTCACAATATTTTGTGTGGGTTTTCACACAGAAAGAAAATATTATCAATAGTAACATATATTATACATACATCAATTATATTGAGACAAACAAATATTTAATAATAATTATGCATGGAAAACCATACTAAAATAAAACAATGTATAATAAAACAATCATGGTTATTTTTTTTCCTCTGTACCACCTCTCCTTGGAGCCAGGACTCAGTTTGAATACTTCTGCTAAAAGTCATTTTACACTTACAATATAAAATTATAATCATAAATTTTTATTAATACGATGGTCATAATATTTTAACTTAATGATAGCATGATTGGTGTTATAATTAAGTAACAAAATGTATATTATAATATTCAAAAAGTTTATATTTCATTTATTGGTTTTACTACTCGACCTTAGCATTATTTGAGAAACAAATATATACTCAGTGTTGACTAGTAACATACTATAAATTACAAATTTCCGTGATAAGTAATTTCTATGGAGTTAAGTGTTATATTCCATTTTATTAAAATAAGTTTTGAATGTAGAATATATATGCCATGATCTAGGAGTTAGGGTTTTTCAAAAAATATTAAAAATCAATTAAATTAATTTATGTTTCCAAAAGTTTTAGATAACAATCAACAATATTATCAAAGATAATAGGAAATTATACTTATACATTTTGTTCATATGTAACATTAAGCCATTAAGAGGACGCCATACTTCCATGGTTTCGTCTAACAAACATATAAAATAGCAAATTTTACATTCTGAATAATTTCTTTGACTCTGTTACGTAATTATTAATTTTAGAGTGAATTGATCTATTACCAAATTTTGAAGAAAGAATATTATCTAATCAATGAAATAGGTTTTTTTTTACTTTTTAATTTTAAAACCAGTATTTTAAAATGTACAAACAATTTACAATTTTAAATGCTTCATAACTTGCTTGAATGCTAAATTGAAATATTTATTATAATATTTTAATATAATTATGACTATGATTATGATTCTATGTGCTTACTTTATACAGTCATAAGCTTAAAATTGTATTGTTGTAATGTAATGACTTTATTATATTCTGTAGTTTTTTTATTTAGTATGCATTTTATGCACTATTTACATTGCACATTGTAATAATGAATTATTTATAATTGTATAGTATAAAAAAAAGTATTAAAAATAAGAGGACTTTATTAATGCATTTATAAATGAATTCTCTTCGAGAAATACGATATATTTAATAGATATATTTTAGGAGTTTTAATATTGAAAATGAGTAATGATTGAGTAACAAACTTTATTATTATTTGCATTTCATCATATTATTTGTGTGTAATAATATACATTAAAATTGTCAAGTACCCACAAATAATATTATTATATTAAATAACAAATTAACTAGAAAACCATTATTCTTGGTTATTTAATATATAATTTTGTCCAAATTTTAACTCAAAATAACAATACAAAAAAACTATGTTTATACATTTTTTGATTACAGAATGAACTACGTAACAGAACCTTGTTTTAAATTTACAATCCTTAGCTATACAAGTCGAACCTTTAATCTTTTATTTTTTAATTATTCAATAATTCGTACATTTTCAATTTAATACATTTTGTAAAAATTTGAACTTCATTATATTGAATGATTATAAAAAATTTTTTGTACATTTTTAATATTTTTCAACTGATATTGAAACAATATATCATGAGCCTTATATTCAATTTTAAAGAATCTTAACCAAACGAATAACATTTTTAGAAGAAAAACATTTTTATTTAAAATGTCCATAAAATATCAAACATAGGAGATTATAAAAATTTCAAGTATCTACACTGTTTGAATTACAGCAAAATGAGAAAATAACTTCAACTAGTTATCGTGCACACAGACACAAAAAAAAATGATATGAAAAAAATACACACACCTCATAGTATAATCAATTTATTCATCCACTCAAAATTTAAAATATCATATTAAATAATGATCACAATGTGTTCATTTAAGAGCATATTTTTCTTTAACTAAGGTAAATAATTATTTTATGTAACTGTGTCTGTCATAAAGATGATGGAGATTAATTTGTATCTTAATGGTCAGAGGGTAGTTTAGATTACAATGAATGCACAACACAAAATGTACCAAATTATTTATTACACCCATTTGTTATTTGATATGGATAGAATGAGGCAAATGTAAAAAATGAAAAATTTATTACAATTGTAACAATGATATCAAATATTAGCCTGAACTGTGCATCTCCAAATCAACTCACCAACTGAAAATAAATAGCAATATTATTAAAAATTTGACATAGCATTTAGAAATGTTCACATCTAATACAAATACAGTTCACAATAGACATGTACAAAATAATTAGTATTCATTGAGGCCACACTTGTTAATCATTAATACAAAAACAAACATTGGTCACTCACTATTCATAGGTAATTGGACAACCATCGTGGAGTAAAATTGTTCAATATCACAAACAATTTTAGTTTCATCGGCCTTAGTAAAATTAATTGCCACATCATTACAACCAAATCTTACAGAACGGCCAATCCTAAAAAAAAAATGTATACATGGATAATGAACAAATAAGTAAGTATAGCTAAAAGTTGTCATCAAAAGTAATAAAGAGCAATAATAGTAGGCTTCAGATATTGCAACAAATTTATTTTGCTGTTTTACATAACAATGATCTGTTTACTTATCAGACAACAACTGAAGAAACATTCCTACTGTGATTCAGGCCTTAGACACAGTATCTTGGTTAAATTGTGCAATTTTAGCCTTGAATATAGAAACAAAGAGCAGTTATCCAGGGGAGGGTGGTACTCTAGTTGTATGGTATAGTTACATGAGCATATAACAGTGGCATAGGCAGGAATTTTCATTGGGGAGGGGGATAGATACATTTTTTTGAGATAAATTGCAGATATATCGCACAAAATAAATTCAATGTATACAAAAAACAATTCTAAGTAAAGACCTATAATATAAGGTACTGGGTATAATTTAAGATATATTTTGCATATATTATGGCATCTTTACTGCCCCCAAAAGCGAACACAAAAAAAAAATACATATCATGGGAAAATCAATACATTCATCCCTCCACTCAGAATTTAAAGAATGCAATAATACAATAATTAAATTGTTATATCATCAATTCACATAACCATTTGTCTGACATTCGTTAGATAAATATCTGTATTTTTTTTCTAGGTGCAAATATTATACGATTTACTCTTCTCTCAATATTATTAAGTATTAACCTGTTCTATGCTTATACATTTATTTTCGTGAATACTATATTTACTAAGCAACATATGAGTATAGATTATAGGTAGCTGCCATCATATCAACAAATTTTTTAATTTTTACTATAAAATTTATTAGAGTAACCGTTATCAGCAACATTGCCATAACGAAAAGGGAGGAAATCACTGGGCATTCAAAAAAGACACACACCTTCTAAGTTTGTACGGCCAGCTCTCGGGTTGGTAAAAGACATGACACTGGTCATATCTCTGAGCTGTATGTCAAAAGATTGTAACATTACATTTGAAATTGTGGCCGTCTTGACAGTACCTGATTGGGCTTGAGTTATAACGTCCTGTCCAGTGACCATCGGCTTTATGGTACGCTGCTGGATAGTCGAAGGCCGTTCAAAACCTTAACAGAAAAGATACACGTATATATGTGTAGTGAGTCACAAATAGAAGGAAGCGGCAGGGTGGAGAGACTTACCATATGCGTATATGCCACGCACAAGGTCTTCCCGGAAGTTCATGTTGTCGAACCGGGACAGTACCTCAACACCTTCACTGGTTTCAAACTGGACTCACATGTCGGACTACCATTGTCAGTGCCAGTAAGTACGACGACGTAAGTATTCGATTTCTGATAATTACCTGACAGACAACGGTGTCACCAAGGAACAAGAAGTCGAGAATGACTCACGGTGAACATGCGACTACATGACCAAGATCATTATTATCTTTATTCTATGAGCAAGATACCTTGAATAATTTTCGACATTTCGAACTAGTCATTTGACACGGGCGTCGGGAGTCGGGACGTAATCAGTAAAAAAAAATTAGCAAGGACCATCGATATAAACACATAACATCTGGTTAATGGTAATACCTATAAAAACGGTTACACATTAAGCGCTTACCATTGCCGGCCGGTCATGGAGTAGAAAACGATGAGAGGGTGGTGAAGGAGAATTCAACACGTTGTATAATATATTGCCACGTCGCATCATCCCCTCACGGAATTCCATGCTCCGGGGGCCGGCCGTCAGCATCTGCTTCCAGGGACCAGAGGGTTGAGGGCCGAGGGGTGAGTATTGGGGAAGTTAGCGCATCGGCGTCGCCTATACATTCTTCATTTTGCATTTTGCTGGCTGCCATTGTTGTCTGTGGTCACGGAAAACAAGCACGTTTTTAGCCCTTTTTTGATTTATAATTAATTTAAAAACCTTTTTTTTTTTGTACACGGTTGCCTGAAGCCGATAAGTTTGGCAGACAATACTTTGTACCAGACAACTGTAGAGGTAAATATTACGTTTTGTTCAATAATTGAATTTCAATTACTATACTTATTACTTAGGGATAGTCGGGTTAGATAAAGAATCAACTAATTGAATGGTTCAATAACATTTAATGGACCAATCATAGGCCACTAAATCGAAGAACGATTATCATCTCACTATTGATTCAATAAAATGTGTGTTAAGTGATTTTTCAAGCAACCTAGCATTAATATTTTTAGGTAGGTACCTATAGCTTTTAAATATTCTTCAAGTTCTGGATACTCATTACCATTGTTTTTTTCCTTTTTATTGATTACTCGCCCAGTTTGTCGTAATCTAGTTTTGAGCCACCTACATTTATTTCATACCTATTTTCAGTAATACGTATTGTTTCCAAATTATTGAATGACATTTTTGGTTTAATAATAATATGATATTAATTACTAAATAATATTTTTGAATTCCTGATTATTATGCATTTTTTAAAGTGAATTTTTATATAAAATAATTTCTTAGTAACCTCCTACTGTATATTTTTAAAAAAAAGCAGTGTGTTCTAAGTGATTACAGACCAGAGGCCTGGTTATGAGTATTTAAGTATTAAATAAATACATGCTTATAATAACTTTAGACATGACATCTGTAAGGAGCTGCTAGTTGAATGAGCAGAGGCCAAAATCCATAATATAACAATAATATCATAATAGTATAATGTATTCAGTACTTACATTGTTTTTAAATTCAATTATTGTTCCCTGTGATTAGGCTTACCTATGCCTTTGATACACAATTAGGGTTCTATGAATTTGAACCTAGCTGTTAATGTATGTAGTAATGAATGATTGGATCTCGGCCTAGGATTTAAATCTCGTAATGATTCAGTTAAGCAATATATTCTATTAAAAAAAAAAAATTTAAGATCTTAATCTTTTGTTTTAGATTTTAAATTCAACCATGTCGAAAGAAATTATTGAACAAGTAAACCAAGCTGACGAACTTACTAAATCAAAACTATCTGATGAAAAAGGACTACTTCTTGAAAACAAAAAGGATTCATATGACTCTAGTATTTCTAAAAAATGTGTGGAAAATAATACTGACATAAAAGAGAATTACAGTGGAGAAAAAGATGCAATTTTGGATGGAGGTTTTGAAAAAAATATAAAGATTGATGATCAAAATGATATTAATGAAGATAATGATAAGAAAAATATAGGGGAGAACGACAAAAAACAGAAGGATGATTATGAGAATAAACAACTTCCAGAGATTGATCATGTTGAAATATGTGTTGAGAATGTGGAAAATAATATTTCTGTAAAGATAGATGATGAAAACAACGATAAAACCAAAGTTGTGGCAAAACCTCTAGAGAACACTAACCTAAAACAGAATGATAACGGTGAAAAAGAGAAAATTTTTACTGATGAAAAAATTAAAATTGATAAAAATGAAGAGAAGTCCATGGATCACAATGCTGATGAACTCAAGATAAATTTGAGTGATGATAAAATGGATTCCATGCCGAAAGACAATGTACAAAAATGTGAAAATAATACAAAAAACAAAATTGAAGATAATATTACAACCATAATAGTTAACCAAAATGAAAAAAACAAAGTTGGCGACAAACATGCAGAAAATAAGGCTGATATAAAAGAGAATAATGACGAAACAAAAACTAAATCTTTGAATAAAGATTTTGAAAAAAATTCAAAGGTAGATGAACAAAATATAAACGATAATGAAGTAAAGAATAATACAGTAGAGAACGACAAAATAATGGATGCTCAAGATAATAATAAACTTATGGAGATTGACAATGTTTCTAATATTGAAAACCACAGCGAGAATGATATTTCTGTGACGATGGACGCTGAAAATGATGATAATACTAAAGTCGTGGGAAAACCTTTAGAAAATGCTAACCCAAAAGAAATTAATGGTGAAAAAGAAAAAAAATTTACTGATGTTGAAAAAAATAAAATTAATGAAAATGAAGAAAAGCTGGCAGATCATGATGCTGATGAACCAAGGATAAATGTGATTGAAGATTATATGAACCCTATACCGAAAGACGGTGGAATGAATTTGGCCGAAGGTAATCACAATTTGGAGGAACACGTTCAAGAGGAGATAAAGAATGAAACTGAAAATGAAGAAAAACTCAAGGATCCAGACGCTGATAAACGAGAAATAAATTTGGATGAAGGCAATGACAATTTGAATGAACACGTTAAAGAAGAGAGAAAGAATGACATTGGAAAAGAAGAAGAGTTGGTGAATAAGGTTGCTGATGATCTAGGGATAGATTTGATTGATAATTGTATGAATCAGATCCCCAATGATGGTACACAAGAAAGTAAACATAATGTAATTAATGATTCTGGTGAACAAAAAAAATATTTGTTATGTGATAATGACGATTTAGAGGAACACATTCAAAAGAAGAGAAAGAATGAAAATGAAAATCCCACCAATCATGAACAAGAAGTAGATAATGATGAGCCGGAGAAATACATTCATAAGAAGAGAAAGATAATTTAAGTACATTATAATTGATTCCAAGATTATTTTTAAATTATCAATACATTTTGAATATAAAAAAAAGTAATTACAAATACATTATAATATAGGATATTTTTCGGAGGGTGAGTTAAAATATAAGATTTATTTAATAATTTAGTATACATTTTTATAAAGCCAGGAGGTCGAGTAACCCTTCCATACACTTTCAATGCCAAATAAGTTATAACATTTACATTACTTAGGTTTTTTTACATAATATTAAAAGTTGAAATATAAGACTCAAATTAAATCATCCAGTTAATTATTTAGTACACATTTTTATACAACCAGGATTACGTTGTATACTTATACAGATAAAAAATAATATGATCTTATGATATTTGATTATATTCATTTCTAAAGTATGTAAAATGTATAATCAATTTTTTAAGTTATGGCCATTCCTATGTTTTGAAATAATAGTAAATATAGCATATTTTGACAGTACTTATTTTTTGTTATAAATTCAATCTTAAACCTATTCTATTTTATAAAAATACATATTAACATTAAATTCTTCCACTGGTTTACTCATAAAAAAAACACTATTATTAATAGGACTCAGAATTCAATGACATAAAAAATGTTTGATAAATAAAAAAATTAAACAATATTTTTTCCAATAATTAATAATGCATTACATTTTATAAATCAATTTGTGTTTACAAGAAATAATAAAATATGACATAATTATTAATTCTATTTTTATGTAAGTTAATTAATATTTTTTATGTTTAAAATGTAGAAATATTTTTTCAATAATTTTAAAATATCTGATAAAAATTTAATTTTTTTTTATTCTAAAATTTGTAAGAAATGAAAGGAAATAAAAAATAAAATGTCATAAAACACATAATATAAATAAGATACTTAGTTTTTGAAATCTAGATTGAAACACTTTTTTTTTCGCTAGAAAAGCATTGTCTAAGAAGTTCCATAAAAAAATTTAATTGTAAGCTTCTGAGCCCTTATAATTAATAAAAGTGAGTACATTAGAATGTGCTTTGATACATTAGAATATTCACCTCACTTTTCAATAACTTGCACCATTTAAAACAGGTAAATGGTTATACCATTATTATTACCAGATAATTATATACAATTATTGTAATGAATTTAGTTTGTCTTTAGTTGTAAGGCTCAAAACCTACTATTAATATTTATACACAATTCAAAATCAAGTACATCATTGCATTTTAAATATAAATGAAATTGCAAGCTTTTTTCACAGAGCCAACGCACGAGGCCAGTGCTTTAAACCAAAGCTATGCCCTTGCGCACAAGTTTACCGCCAACTACCACTTTCATTTGGAATAGAGTATACATAGTCTAGTAATAAATATATTGTATTATAGAGTTGGTGAATATTATTTATAAAATACTCTTGTTATAACGAGAGTAGTATGTGATTAAAAAAAAATATAAACAAATTAAATTTTGTTTAAATATTTTCAAAATATAATTATTTTATTATGAAATACCAAATACATATTTTAAATAGTATGTTTAAAAAATTTTTTCATTATTTTAAGAATAGTATATTGGTAATTGTGTTTTTAAAAAAAATAATAAATAAATTATTGGAACAAACAGTAAGTAGGTATACTCTGTAGTAATACTCTGAAAGAAATAAAAATTATAAAAATACTCAACAGCTCCGTGTTAAATTAACTATATAAATAAAGCTTATGACCAAAATTGTTCAACTTTAATAATTAAACTACATAAAAAAAACTTATTATAATATATCTAACTAATGAATACGCTAACTGCCAATATTATTTATTAATTTATCAATTATTATATTCAATTACCTAACTCACAACGATCGCAAAGACACTGACATGTTAAAAACCTTAAGTTTCAAGTAGTACTCAAAACAGATCACCCTGTATATAAAATACAATGGACTCAATAATAAATTAACCTTATATCGAAGAAACAATAATCAAAAAATTTAACACAACTTAATATTAAGTCTTACGAATAACTAAATTATGAGAATGCTAAATGCTGATGAAAATGTTGATTCAATTTTTTCATTTTTAATATTAAAGTAAATATGACCAATAGTTGATACGTACATTTAAATATTAGAATATCTTTGGATCTCTCTTTAGGTTAATTATATTATCTCAAACAAACAATTTAAATCTTTTAAATTAAACGACTAACTTTTTTTTAAAATTGATACGACAGTGATTTTTTTAAGAATGCTCACTTAACCAAATTTTTCTTTTTTATAGTATATTTATACAAATTCTGATTTTTTTATGAGATAATATTCTATAAATCTAATTCTCAAATGAGATTTACAAATATCAAAAATCAGAATTTAATGTAATTTAAGCATACAAATAGAGTGAACATGCTTAAAACATGTATACATAATAATATATAATTTCATAATTATTATGTAGGGAAAAGAAACAAGTAAATCTAATCAATAGGTAATATTCTTTTAGTTAATAACAGTACGAGTTGACCCCGTCTTACAGATGTACAACAACAAAACACATTTTGTAAAAAATGTTTAATATTAGAGTAACAGAAACAGCACAACATACGGGCATAGCATCTTCATAATATAATATAATATGGTAAATAAATTAAATAAAAGTAATACATTAGCTACTTAAATTAAATTATAATGAAATATTTTTTTGAATTTTAAATAATGAAAAATACAATTTAATTTGTCTACACTAATCTTATCATCCAAAAAAAAATTGTGTGACACATAAAAGTTGATGGTGAAAAGCAATATTTACTCTACTGATTCAGGTGCTGTCACATCCAATTTAGGTTTCTTACAGTCAGTAACGAGATCAGATTCTTCTTCTACATCATCTGTAAGTGAACGTTTAGTAACGAGATCAGATTCTTCTACTACATCATCTGTAAGTGAACTTTTCTGTTGATGTTTGAACTTCACAATGATACAAGTCATGTTATCACAGCCAACTCCAGCATTTGGTGTATCAGGCGCCAAACATACTTCAAATAACTATACCAAAGAGTTAATGATATTAATAAGTGTATCATAGATAAAGTAATGATAAAATATAATGTAATAATTACTTCTTCACAAATTAATGATAATTTGACATCTGGACAATGGATACGATTTGATATGAAATCAATAGCTTTCTGACTGCATAACGAGTTCCAAATACCATCACACGCTAAAACTATAAAATCACCATTTTCTGGTTTCAAGTCTATGATTTGTACATCAGGTAAAGCAGTTATCATTTGTTCCATATTTGTAAATAAACTATTTGTCTTGTACATATGATCACCTGAAAATAATTGAACATTGTTTACAATTTTATTTAACTATAAAATACACAATAAATTTTTCACCTAAGGCTCGTGACATATTAAGACCATGGTTAATTCGTCCATCACTTGAAACTCTCCCACCGGCTGCAAGAATTCTTTTCAACTCGGATTTATCCCTAGGCTTGTGATCTGTTGACATGGCATGAGCTTTGCCAGCAATAGATACCACACATCTGGAGTCTCCAGCATTAGCCACATATAGCTTATTTTTCACTAATAAAGCTACAACTGCTGTACAACCACTGTCTTTTCCAGCCTGAAAAAATTGATTTGTTTTAACTATTATAATGCTATTTAAGTTATTACTAATAACTATAGAATATGCTTTTACAGGGGCTTCCTTACCAATATCAACGGCCGAAACTATTAAGTAAATGATTTCTGTGGTGACATATAAAGTTTACATAAAAACTAAAACGCTTATTTACCATACGAGATAACTTTAATATTATATACTCAGTCTCAAAAGAGAATAATCAGTCGTCCAACCAGTTTTTGCTAATGTTGCACGCGTCACACCAACTACCTAGTGTTAGCATAATTACATGGCTCTTGACAAACTAATCGCATCATTGAAGATGCAAAATAAGCGATAGTTCTCTTTTGAAACAGAGTACACTTTACATAATTGCCTGATTAGGTGTTGAATAATAAAAATTGTACTATGTACCTACCTACATAATGAAACCAATGATTCTTAAATCTTAAACAAAATTTAAATTTAATGGTTTGGCTTGTGAAATCCTGTGTGTGCTTAGTTAAATCTGACATTTAAATAAAAAAATAATATTGCTTGTATTAACACAAAAAAATTATTATGTTATAATATATTACCAATTCCGTTTCAACAAGTTTTTCATCATCAACATCGGCATTATCTAAAAGAAATAAACATAATAAATATTAAAGAAAATCGTGATAATTACCAAATTATAATGACCTATTTAAGCAGATAATAATTATTTTAAATGTATACTATGTATCGTCAATATATAGACGACTAATTGTTAACTTAGTCTTGAACTTAGTTAAATAATTCATCAACTCTAATATCAAAATTAATTTTGATTTAACGTTGATATATATAGTAAAAATCATAATTAATAAATCACATATGCGGGCACAGGCCTCATTGACAGAGCATGCAAAACAAAAATAGGGCCCTTAAAGCTTTTTGAAACTGTCAATAATTTTTATAATACCTAAGTATCTATCTCTGTGTCCATTTTTAATCAAAATTACAAATTAAAAAAAACATTCGAGTTCTTTGAGAAAAGTAGACTGTAAGTTGATATAAGAGTGTTCTTTCTTGGAGTCTGCAGTGGCATACCCTGCATACCTTGTGAGTACACCTGTGATTAACCATTAGCTATTGAGCTACCTATAAACTTATTATATTAATAGAACTCAAGTTCTATTAAAATATGACCAGAGCCATCCATAGAAACCAAAAACCTATACAAAAATTATATTGAGTTGAATTTTTGAAAAAACCTAATGACAATTTTCAGAACAATTATAAACCTAATAAATATTAAAAAAACTAATTCATCCAAATAGTAGCAGTTTCATAGTTTATAAAACATTCTCTAAGTGTCTATTGGTATGTACTTATTGTTTAATAGTTGTAGTTTATAAGTGCGTTGTGATCAAAATTAACGTACCAAAAAAATTTAGAATCCATGTTAATATTTTCTCCCCTGAATTAAAAACAAATATATATTATATTTTATGATTAAATAGGTAGGTATTTTATGTTTTACTTCATGTCAGAATAAAATTCAATTTATTACTAAACTGTATTTATTTTAAATGATTTTGGTAGTAAATATCAACTAACAGTTTGTATTTGTCAGTCATATCAAATAAGAGAAATTACAGTGTTTAGGTACTTACCACTTTCTTCTGTTTTTCCGTTTTTCAATCGAAGAGTTCTCAGCCTCCTCAAAACTGACGGTGCAATTAGACTGTCGTCGAAATCCAAGTAAGCCTTGATCAGTGCATTTTCGTAATCGCCTTGTTTGAACAGTTCGTTTTTGATCAGTGAAGGCAACATCTCAACAGCATACTGTGCCACTTCAGCGCCACCGTGCCCGTCGAAGACTCCAAAAAGCGACATGTCATTGTCGAAGTCCACTAAACAGACGTGGGCGTCCTGCAGAGCGATCAAAAGACACCACAACAATTAAACCACCGAGTGGAAGGTTTAAAATCCGCTATAGAGTAGCGCAAGGGAACGAATCGAACGGCGTGCCAACGTTACCGCAAGCACACCTGCCGTCGAGTCGCGCCCGACCACTGGGCCACCCATCACCCGCCGCTACTCGGTAGACACGACTCACAGTGTAGTTACTCACCTCCTGTTTCTCGCGCCAGCCCTGCATCGAACTGACGCCGCACATGAGCCGGTCGTTTTCCATGTCCTCGGAGTCCTTGTCGGTTTTCGGTTTGTTCAGGTACGAACCCATGACGACGACGACGGCCGTCGCACTCTCGCACCGCAATCTGTTGCTGATCCTCTCTAGCGGCCCCGGGCACACACCCGCGACGACGACGAATGTGGATGCGGGTGTTCACCTGAATAATGCGCAGAGAATAATTTCGTATTTCCGTGCGTAGCGGCGTCTTGGGGGCGGCGTACGTGTCGTACTGTGTGGAGTATTGATTGACGTGCCGTCAGGACGAGTGCGGCGGAAGGCGACTGCGCGGCGTTTGGAGCGACGCCGACGACTAGGACGCGTCGACGGTGACCGGTATGCGGCGGCGGCTGATGGAGATACGGGGAACGAATAATACTGTGAATATTAATATGATAATATTGTTGTGTTATGCTTGCATTAATAATATTATCAGTGTATAATATATTTATCGTTATTAATTATTATGAATTTATTTTGTTACTGTCGTGACGAGAATAATGCGAGTCTGTACATTTATATAACGATAATAATATTATGAAATCAGAAAATAAATACCACTGTTGACTGATGTTGTTCTTGTTGTTGTCCGCCGGGTTCCGCTGTTATCGGTATTGTTGACACTTGATAATATTATTACAATGGCACCAAAGTTGTTGTTGTCGTTTGACTAAAATATTATAATATTTTTTGTCACGAATAATATTATAAATATTGTTATTATTGTTATTATTATCATGCTTATCGCCCGGCTAGTTGGGCGGTCGGGTGTTTATCATATCTTATAATACTTCTTATCACGCAACAAATAACAATCATTCGGAGAAAAGTGAGACGCCAAAGTTATGATGTTAAAATCATGACAAAATACATTTTTACATCAAAATACATCATTAAAATACAACAATAAGATAGTACATTAGTACCTATGCTACCGACCACCTTTAATTAGTACTTTATTGTTGTGAGTATTACATGTCCACGAACTTTATAATTGCCTTCAGAAATGTAATCAGTTAGGCGGTGTTGGGTAAATTACTAATTTCCGTAACGAAATTACTTTTTCAGTAACGCTGTGGTAATTTCATTACATTTTATTTGAACTAATACAATTAAAACTACTTTCAAAGTAACTTCTATGTTGTAACGCATTATTTTCGACGTTATTCGAATAAGTTATGAATGACACAACTACAAAACCTAGAGGTTGAGATGTTCGAAAAAAAAGTTAAAATAATTTCGATTTACCAACGATTCCAAAAGTTTTAGGCTTACACATAATCAACAATATTATTAAAAATCTCAGGAATTAGTTTTTAATAATTTAATTTAAATATTTTTTTCCTAAAACCACAGATTTAAATTTATTCTATACTGTAAAAATTAACTTAATATAAAAAAAAAACAATAATCGGAAATATCAAAATAATTTTTAATATTATTTATAAATATTATAAGAAGGTAATAAAGAATAATTTATAACAATGCCACAATGGTTTACCTATACTATTATATAAAATTGTAAGGGGTTTTCTAGGACCGCGTTAACCAAGAAAACTACTGAACCGATTTGAATGAAATTTTTTACTGTTATACCCGACACTGTTGAAGATTTTAGTACCATTTTTGTCAATAAAAAATAAGTCTTAAGTTATTATTAATTAAAATAAACTTGTAAATTGTATACCTATACATTTTTAGTAAGAGAGTCGCTAGCAATCAAACAATCAAACAGGCTTCTAGACTCTAGGCAGGTCGGGATCAACTTGGAATAATAAACAATTATTATATTTATTTAGTTTAGCAAAAAAAAAAACAATTAATTTTATCTGAATATCTATTATTAGTATTTACAATCAATGGTGTTACATTAATTATTGGTACAAAATTACTAATAACTAATCGAATTTTCACAAATCGCTTGCTAAGATGGTTGAGTTGTACTTATAGCAAAAGAAAGCGACTTAATTTAATATTGTAGTATAGTTTTACCTAGCATGGGGTACAATGATAATAGTATAATACGATAATATAGTATAAAGTATAATATAATATCCAACCTCATAATATATTGCTCGCATTATAACAAGCGAATCGCATGTATAGATTTGGCATTTTCAACAGGCATTGAAGTACACGGGATCAGCTAGTAATATTATAAATTCATAGAATATAATTATTATATGATACATACATTATTAACAGAAAAGTTATATGCAACAAGTTAAAGTAACAACTTCATTGAGAGAGAGAAAAATACAACTATTTAATCAGTATCCCAGATACATTTGTGTACTCATCAGTATCAGTCTGGCAATTAGGCAATTACCATGGGCCCTTGGATAGTTTTATCTTTTAATCATGTAAGATTATTCTTGATTCTTAGGAATTTTTTTTATTTTGTATAAAATTACAGTTATATACGCATATAATAATAATATGATTATAATAGCCATATTTGTAGGTCTAAAAGAGGAAGGCTATAAGTCATAAAGTACATTAAGAAAAAAAACTGTATCAAAATATTTGTTATACATCAAATTAGAGCTATTGATTTTCCTAATTTATTAATTACTATATTGTAGGTATATAATATTATTTTATTAATTTTAATTTTGTATGTATTTATTTATCAAAAAGTATAGTAAAGTATAGTATCAAAAAGTATTTTACCAAAATAATTGTCTAATTGTGAAATTTTATTTTTTAAAAGCTGTACCTATACATTATTTTATTTATTTCAACTTATATACATTTGGCACACTATAATTCTATCTAATAATTAAAACCATGTTTATGAGATTTGATTCTAATTGTAATTATGATATTATTCACTGATCGAGGAAAACAAAATTACCTGAGGAAAACTTTTCTTTTCTGAGCTCTCATTGAAAATGATTGTGCCGGGGGCCAGACTGACATTATACTTTTAATCATTATTATAATTTATCAATAGTTATTGCTTATTAATTGAATATTTTTCTACTTCTATTCATTCATAGGATTACAGTTCATTAAATGATATTTGATGTTATATGTGTAATTAATTAATTATATTCTAAATTCTAATAATGAATTTGGTTATTATAAATTTAGTATACCTAGCTATGGACTGTAGGTCAATAAATAAATAAAAATAATTCAAATATTTTGTTGGATTTTGTCTTTGATTTCAGTATTAAAGAATACAGTCAAAACTCTTTATAACGAATCTGAAGGGACCAAGAGATTTCTTTCGTTATAGAGAGTTTTCGTAATAGAGAGGGTTTAAAAAAAAACAAAATTTTAATTATTTATCAAACACATCATTATTTTTACATTATTTTATATATATTTACATATTATATTAAATTATTATTATTATTATTACCTATACATACTTATTAAATATAATTTAATTTTTATACTATATATATTTATACTTTATTTAAAATAGTCTGTCATCTTAGTTTGGACTTTTTTATTCGGCATTATTGCCGATTATTTTTATAGTTTATATATGTAATGGATACGATAACACGTAAATTGTATTATGAAACCTAAAATATTGTTTCGTTATTGAGAGTGATTAATACGTTATAGAGAATGAATTGTCTAATGGGTTATATAGCAAACCAACCATTATTATGTAATGTTTACGTTATATAGAGTTTTTCGTTGTAAAGAGTTTTGACTGTATGTGTACTTACATCTTACAGCAATTAATTTTAGTACATACATTTATTTAAAACTGCAAGACCTTTATTAAATTACTATGTTATTGTTAGCTTTAAAAGTAGGAATAATTATTAATTTTATATGAAAAAAACTGAGTTTTAACTAAGTTAATAAGTTACTTTTATTTTGAAGTTAACTCGTAACTCTTACAAGTTTATAAAAAAAGAAAAGTAACTTTAAATTTTAAACTTAACTCACATTTCTCTATACTAACTTAACTTAATGAGTTAAAAAAAAAATGGTTTACTTTCCCAGCTTTACCAATCAACAGATTATAATGCTTATACATTTGGTTCTTGTATAGCATTTTTAGTTACCTATTAAATGTGTACATCATCATTTGTATACCCTTACACCTATTATATATTCTGCTTTATAGGTAACACTATAATGTATGACGTATAAATAAACCATTACTTATTAGTCATACGAACTGATTTTGTAATTCATTTTAAAAATGTAACATTATTTGTAATGCCTTACTTTTTGAAATAATTACCCAGTGCAAAATGATAAGAAGAATGTTGGGTAACGCCAGTCTTGTAAGGTATTTGAATAAAAGTATTTGAATACTTTTTTTGTATTTAAATACTATTCTAAATACATTTAAAAATATATATTCAAATACGTATTCTGAATATCTTTTTTTAGTATTTTTATTTTATATTTAAATAATAAATTTGAAAAAAAAAGAATATTTGTGTTTATAGATTATAATCCTGAGCAGTGGTCATTAAAATAATAAAATATAATATTAACCATAGCCCATAGACCTTTTACTAGTTGAGTAGTGATGAAACCATTAGCTGTGGGCTTAGATATTTTGCAAGGAGAAAAGTTCATGTATTTTGGTTATTTAATCTCATCCATTTCTCAACTTATTTCACAGTATGAGAATATGAAAATAAATGAAAATTACAAGTTTTGTAGATCATTAGGTAATTGATACAATTTGTTTCAATGTTGAAAAAAGATTTGAGACTCAACTAACTGACTCATTTATTATAATTACTGCCATATTATTTGTTGATTATTCAGTTTATTCTATTAGGCATTAGCGTAATGCGCTTAAATTTATTTTTGCCAAAAAATTACATTTCAAAAGCTCATTCTGTGCATAAAATATTAGAATATAATAATATACGTACTCTAAAAGTTTCAAGTAGGTACCCACGAATAACCTCTTGGTTATTTAACAATATTTAATATCGTCCAAATTTGAACACAAAATAACAATTAAAAAAAAAAACTGTGTTTATATATTTTTAGATTTTTTGACTATAGAATTGATTGTTGTGTTCAGCTTTGTTTTTAATTTTTGATCCTTAGCTATAAAAGTTGAATGTTTTATAAATAACTAGAAAATAATTAGTACATTTTCAATTTGAAAATTATGTCAAAATTTGAACTTTAAATGCTTAATCGTACCTATGTATTTTAAATATTTTTAAAATGATATTGTAACAATGTATCAGGAGCCTTGTATTACATTTTCAAGCGTTTTGACCAATAAAATAAAATTTTATTGACATTTATAAAAAAAAACTGAACAAATTAAATATTTAAAATGTCTGTAAATAGCACTAATCGAGTAAAATAATTTGAAAATTCAATCAAGTTTATGAATTGATAAAAAATAACATAATATGGTGTAAGTTTCAAGAATCTACAGTTATTCGTTTTTGAATTACAACGTAATAAGAAAATCGTTACCTACATGCGAGAAATCGAGTGAATCCAATGTTGTAAAAATTTGAAATTCAAACGCTCATAAAAAAATATTGTTGATTGACGCTCAACTTTTTATATTAATTTACACTAAAAACAAATTGCGAGGAACCTTGTTTTATGTTTTCGAGTTTTTTGACCAAGCAAAAATGTTTTTATCAACATTAATTTTAAAAAAAACTAATAATAATCGAACATACCATATGTCCATATGCCTAACAGTTCAACAAGATTCAAAATATACTGAAAATGTTATGGTGAATAGAAAATACTAACAGGTACATTGGTACATACATTCAGTGAAAGATTCATGTACCTATCTATAGTTATTTGTTTAAGAGTCACACCAAAAATCAAAACTGATGTGCAAAAAAATCCCGTTTTTCTTAATGTTTTGTGTGTTTTCCGGCACTTTCAAAAACTTTTGGGAATTAAACGAAAAAGTGTGTTTTACTGGTATATTACATACACTTGTTATATTTCTCGTCGGTAAACCGCCAGTAATTTTTGGAACTACTAACATTTTTAACGTAAGATTCGAGCGAGCATGTACGTACGATTGCGAGTGTTGCGTTACAAAACAAATACTGTTTGTTTGATAATTTATCTAAAGTCATCAAGGCCTGAACTACTTCTTGAGATATGAAACTACTTTGTGATCTCGAGTTCAATAAAGTTCGACATAAGACCAATGTTGCTCACTTCTCTTTTGCTCGCACGACGGCCGTTGATAGAAGTACGTTCTCGTGATCGATGCCCGACGGCATATAAACGCTAGCCGACTCACTGAAGTCTTATTCGATTTTTTTTCATTCTATTTTTGTGGAATAGTGTGTAATAATGTATTATGTGCTTTATGCCATCTATAATACTTATTCCACGAAAGACAGTGTTAAACTTAGTGTTTGCGCAGACATACCTTGCAGAGCCCTAGTTCATTGACCCTTTTTATTCGATCGGTCACTGCTAACGATAAAAATTAAGGACATTTGTAAGTCGTAATATTGTATGTGACAAATCATACGCATAGCATTTTATCTCTGATGTAGAGACTAAAGACGTAGAAGTGTTTTTGTCAACATTATTTTTTCGACCATTTTTGTTTTCAGAAGCACAATTGACGATTTTAGAAATGTTTTTTAATGACTAGATTGCTTAAAAAACTTGTGAAGGCTCATCCAAAAATAATACTGAATCTTCCACTTAGGAAATTTCATTTTTTTGCGACTTCATCTCACATTAACTTAAGGTGATCGCATCCAACTTTTTGCAAATTATATGTATGGGCAGTGGGCCTCAGTCACTTGGCTGTTGACTCAACGCCTCTATAATTGAGTGGACATATTATGATTACATAGAATGATTACGAATGTGCATAACGTGATATTAAATAGCTTACTCTACTAAATTTATTTAACAACTAAAAAAACGCACAATACACGTTACTATTAAACAACGTAGGTGAACAATGAATCAACGAATCCTGGTCGAATGGACCAAATGATTGGACTTGGTGAGCAATTAATTATAACAATAAATACGTTTTATTCGTTTGGACTGAATTCAAAATTTAAGTACGTATGTTAGTTATAAGAATAATAATTAAAATTAAACAATTGCAAACAGCACGTAAACACACTAACAAACACGTATAGACCAGGTGAAACATTCTCAACGAACATGTTCGTCCTAGTGTGGACCCGGCTTTAGACACGTTTCGCACTGGTAGTGTGCTTTCCGTGGCCATTAGGCCCCGCATATGTCTCACATAGGCTCACATAAAG